CACACACACACACACACACACACACAGTCCTTTGCAGGGCACCTACCCTCCCCCATCTCACTCTGTTATCTACTGACCTACACTGGAATGACACACACCCACACACACGCTGCCCAGGGGTTATTGATACTTGGCCAATTATGATCCAGTCGGTCAGTTGGTTCTTTGTTTTGTTGTTGTTGGATAAACTGACTTAACATCTCACCAGCTACTTTCCTCTCTTTAGTCCTTCAACATGTGGCCTGATGATTAAGTATTGGTTGTATCCCTAAAATAGAAGCATTTTCAATATTAATGAATACTTTTCCAGAATTATGGGCCTTGACATGCCAAAGTTCACAAACCTAAACTCATTTCTCATTTTCATGATTAGGGTTCAGGTCTGGATTCATGTTCCTGAATTCAAAAGCAAAGGGCTGCTTCCTTCCTTTAACAGAAACATCATGACCAACAGGAACCCTGCAGATGTGAGGGTATTGTGGAGTTTGAGTCATCAGTTTCAATTCCATACAAACACTCCCCAGCAGATGAAACTCGGACAGGGGCTCATCTTTTCTTTTTTTTTATTTATGCATATAAATTCACCAAAGGCATTTATATGTGCCTACCCCCTCTTCCATTCCTGGCAGGCAATGCTTCAGTCTCAGGCCGACTACAACAACAGAGGAAAGATAAACATTGGCGCTGAACACCAACCGAATTTCTGCCGCAGCTTTTCATTACAATCAATTCCAGTGTTTAAACAGGTGCAATATTGCTATTTAAGGTATTTTATGGGTGTTGTTTTTTGCATTCTCATGGGTTTGTGGAGGAGTGGAGGCTGGTATTTTCTCATAATACTGGTTTACTAGGTCGCAACATGTTCTGATGAATCTCTGTGAAGAAAATCAAGCTCCTCCCTCATCAATCAAAATCTGTGAAGGTACAAGAAAGTATGTTATCTTAATCAACATTGGAAAGATTTCTTTCCTATTTTTCTGACGATTCTGACCATTTCGTAAGGAAGGACTAACTAACGACTCCCCAAAAGTGAAGCCAAAAATATCTTAACCCCCCAATTGGCTGGCTGCAGTATAGGTCATAAAGCCAACCCCCTCTATGTTAGTGGATAGGACATGGACCAAGCTAAAAAGTCAAAAATACATGTCAAATATGCTCTGCTCAGAGCATATCTGCCCTGGTATGGTTTATGGTATGCACCCAAACAACTTGGCTATCATCTCTGTGTGTTTATCCCAAACCCCTTTATGACATGCTGTTTTCCTGATACAGATCAACACACAGACAGGCAGAAACACACACACTCAGATATCCACCATTTGATAGGATACGTGGCTTGTAATGTCAGGAAAATACTAGTCCCTGTTTGAAGTGAGCTCTTAAAAATGCAGTAAGAGGCGTTAATGCAGGTTGTGTGTGTGTGTGTGTTATTACTTACCAGCACCTTGCCAGGTACATGTGCTCCTTGACAAAGACTGATCCAGAGAGCAGGATGTACCAACAGGTAGCGATGCTGTCTGGGCTGAGGAGAGACAGAACATACTGGTGTGAAACACTCACAGCTTAACACTGCAGTCTGTGCTTCATAACACATAATGTGTCAGAAACACAGATAATATGGACTTTCAATACCCCCTCTTTGTACTCTTGTGTTATACTTGTGTTATATATCATGATTGGTAATTATTCGGTGTGTTCCTTTTTTTATTTTTTCAAAATCCCATGTAAGTGTCTTCAAATTAAATCTATACTTCATTAAGCTTCCTTTGCTTGTTTGCACTGAATCAAACAAGCCGGCATATTGCCAGCCCAGTGTGCAGACTCGGAGACGTGAAGTGTAACACGACAGCATCTGCGTGTGTCTCACAGTTCCTGCTCCCCTTCGACACTGATCCAGCTCTGTGACTACGCCTGCTGCTGGTATAATGGTGAAACAACAATGCCCTCCACTACCCTGTTAATACCTTTTATATAGAACAGCAACTTTCCCGCTGTGAAAAAGGGACTAATGATGATGGTGAACACGGTACCAAACACCAAAGCACCTACACAGCCTAATGATCATCATGCACTCACACCAGAAAATGGAACTTGCAGACAAAATGGTTGCATATGTTCCTAATTTTTATCCTAGTCTGGATCTCTGCCATTTATTTATGATCACTCCGGGTTGCTCTCACACTCCAGCTCACGCAGTGCTTTATGGAAAGTTTAAAAGTCCCCTGAAGTTAAAACAAATTATTTCTTGAGACCTCGGCCCTCCTCCCGACCCTACCGCTGCCTCATTTCTAGTGTCAGCATAGCGCTGCTTACTCAGGCTTTTAACTGGTGCTCTCTTCTTTATACACTGTATATCCTGCTCTTTGTTATATGTTTATTCTGCAGATTCTTGGAGCCGACTTCAGGCTATTCTCTTCTTCACCAATCTATATGTTGAGCTGGAAATTCCAGTTTGATCCATGGCTGGATTCTAACATGTATTTCAAGTCTTTGAAAAATGCAGAAGTTATATGAAAAGAAATGCAGAGTGGGATCTCTAAATATTTGAAAGAAAATATAGTGCACATCCAACCTTTGAATCCCAAGCGATGCATTTTGCATTAGCAGAAACATGTTCCATGCCAAGCACTATGGAGCCATGATATAATGTGCCATCAATGCAGGGTGCAGAGAATCCATTAGCAACAAGCAGCCATGCTAACAGGGCCGGAATAAACGGAGCTGAGGGAGTCACGTAATCCAGTCTGTCATGATAGCAAACATGAAATTCTTTCATCTGAAAATGAGATATGATTGTTTACATTATTTCACGTATCGATCTTATCTATTAATACCCAGCACCAGTCTAATGATCTACATAACAAGCTGGGTGCACGAGTCAGTAAAGAGTCAGGAAAGAATCACGAAGACGTAAGTCAGATGCGTGAATACAAAGCCAGGGAACATGGACTGAGAAATGTATGTTTGAAGTTTGGAGATAAGAAATGCACCAGTGTGGGAAGAGCAACACCCTCTTCTTCCATCGATGGTAACAGTGGATTTCCAATATGTCCACCAATAATTTCTAGATGCAATTCAAATATAAGGGGAGAGGTTTTTCACATTGAGAAGGATTTTAATTGATATTCACTAACTTTGCAAATTGGTAGGGGCATTGCAACCGGGCAGACGAAACAGGCAATAGCCCGGAGCCCTGAGAAGAGAAGGGGCTGATTACGTGGTGTGT